CTGGGATTTAACTCCCACTGTCCCAAATGAAAGTCCACCTCCTGTTTTCACTGTGGACCTCATTGCTAATTACACTCTTTCTTCTGATCAGTGGGATTGACTAAACTCACCTGTCTTGACCTAGATTCTCTAAATGCTAATGGAAGCTGGAGAAGTCTAGTCTCCTGCTTACCCCAGCTTTAAATCGTGTAAACACATTTCCTAATTCTCCTTGACCTCAGAGCTGCCTTCGTCACTATCGACCGCTAATCTTTTACTTAATTATCTGGAGTAGTGTGCCGGTCTCCGTGGTGCAGCTCTGGTTTAGCACCGGAACCAAAGTCCATGTCAGAGTCACACGTCCGAAACAGTAAAAACACCGACTGTGCTGTGGCCAAAGGCGGTGCCGAGGGAGCTTTACTGTTCTCGATCTACACACCGCCGCTGGGATCCATAGTTCGTCAGCACGGTGTGAATTTCCACAATGTGTCCACGAGGCCAGATGACCCAAATACTCGGCCCGGTCGAACCGACTGCCAGTAATGAGTGGATGAGCGAGACCTTTCTGAAGCTAAACGAAGATAAGACTGCAATCCTCCTAGCTGGCCGCAAAGAAGAAGAAGGATTCTGCTCTTTCTAAATGAGGACATCTGACCTTGCAGACGTGACCACGAGTGAAAAAACCTCAGAGTCACTGTAGGTTCTGACCTTAATTCTGCAGCTCATTTAGTTCTTCTTCCTTTTATCATGCTTTCGTTTTTGGTGTACATCCCAAAACCAGCCATTGCACAACCACAACACCATCCAAAACACAAACAAAAACGCAACGAGTGCTCATATATGTCCTGTTTTATAGAACACACTCTGCCTCCCTGGTTCCTCTCTCAGTTTATAAGACACTAAATGGCCCCTTTTACATCACAGACAGCTTTTCTCTCTCCGTGATCCTCCACGAATCCTGAGATTCGCCACAGCTGCTCATTTAACTATTCCCCAGGTTGCTCCGCCAACCGCTGGGGATGCTACTTTTAGCTAATATGCCCCAAAAATATGGAGCGCTCTGCCTTTAAATATTAGACTTGCTGACTCAGTGGATATTTTTAACAGACGACTCGAAACGTGTCATTTAAATTAGGTTGGAAGCTTTTAATTTATCTAAGTCATACATAGTAGCGCTCCGTGGGGTGTTTTTTTTTTTTTTGGGGTGGTTTTCTTTTTGCTGCTGAATTGAAAAAGACTTTTGAGCTGATTTTAAATGTGCTATACAAAAAAAAAAAAAAGTTAATCCATTAATTTGAGTTGTATTATCAAAACTACTCTTTCAGGGACAATAGGTTGAAAACAGTGACTAAAAAATGGAACCTCACATCACACGTCACAGCGTGACCAATATGCTGGCAGTTCCATTAGTCATGTACGTAAGAGGAACGCTACAGGAAAGCCAACAATAATATATTTATTTCTATAGTGCAAATTCAAATGCTTAATATTAATAAAAGAGAATGAAATAAAATTTAAAAACATACAAATAATAGTGATAAGACAATAAGAGTCCTTAATAATCATAATAAATAGGTCTGATGGCAGTAAAATACATAAAACTACAAGAAAATTACATAAACACAAGCCTAACAAGGTAAATTTTACAGTTTTATTTGAGGTTATTGACTGAATCACATGTTTTGACCTCTTCTGGAGGTTTTTTTTTAAGCAGTGAGTGCAGACAACACTGACTACAGTATCTCTTTATGTTGTAGTTCTGCTCTGGGGAACATTTAAGAGATCAATGTGAGGATGTTAGGGGTCTGCACACAGCATATGTAACCAGTAAATCAGATAAATCTGTAATTAATAATTCATTAGGAGATTTAAAAACTAAACGAAATCTGAAAATTAATTCTGAAAAGAAGGGGAAGCTAATGAAGAGCCTCAAAAATGGAGGTAATGTGTTTTTTCCATGTTTAGTTTTAGTCAGAAGACCTGCTGCTGCATTTTAGGTCATCTGACGGTTGTTTAAAGATTTCTTAAGAGCATTTCAAGAGTCAAGTATGCTCGAAATAAAAACTCAAACAAGTCTTTTAGTTTCATTCTTAGTCAGAAAAGGTTCCAGGCTTGGATTTAAAGCGTGGGTCACAATCAGCGATGGCACTGAGCCTCTTTGCTTCATGATTTTTGTTCAAATCCAGCCTTTATACACTCTTTTTAACACTATTGTGAGTCTGTATTTCATTGACCCCAGTGATCAGAACCTGAGGTTTGCTGCTGCAACTTGTGTGGCATGTTAATGCTGTTGAGGCAACAAGACAGTTTTTCAAGTGCATATTAAAAAAGACTGTGGGTCCCAGAACAGACCCCTGAGGAACGCCACAGGTGACCTCAATTTCAAAAGACACTGACTCTCCCAGAGACACCGCATCGTGCTCTTCTGTAGGAAAAGAACTGAAACAGTTAGAACTTAGATGTTAACATGGATCTGCAGCCAGGTTGGAAAAATCTCATGTTTGTTGTAGTTCCAAAGACAAATTAACATGTTAGAATTAAAAGGCATCCTTGCTGGCACTGAGGGGTTTTACCACCATCAGCTATATATTACTGAGGATTTCATTGACTCCTCTATACCTGAGTTACACTGTGTTTTTCCATTATTGTATAATTCACAATTCTGGCCGCTGTAGCTGCTATTAGGCAAAGTTAACATGAATTTGCTTGTGAGTAAATTTGATATTTTGGCCTCAGGGTAGGACAAGCGCTGCTGGAGGGAAGCTCAGGAAGTTCCCCTCCAAAAAAAAAAAATCCCCAGAGGTTGAGCCTGGGGATGGCATGAATGTGTAACACATGTTCAATTGACATGAGATAAGATTAGAATTTTAGTCATGTAAACGTGTAGCCTGAGTCTGTTTTTACAGGAAAACTCATGAGGACACATCCTCTAAGGCCATGAATATGAAACACAAATGGCTTGTTAGATATGTTCTTATGAATTATAGGATAGGCTCGAATGTTTTAATCTTTAAAACAAAAAAAAAACGTGTATATGCTGTGACGTCCAACCATTGCAGCCTCTTTGTTTCCTCCTTGCTGAGCTGCAGTCGACTCTAACCCTGGAAGACACCCACTGCTTATTAAAACTGCTGAAACCTCATATTCTGCTGGACTAACATTTTTGCACTGAGCAAAGGACTTGCATTGATTCACTTACATTGCAGTTGCATAAGGCGGTCAATATGGACATGGGGAATCATTACAGCAGCAGCAGCTTCACTGCTTGCGAGGCGAAAATGTTGGTATAATTGATCACACAGGCAGGATGTTTGTAAAGGGTCACATCTCGAAAACATGATATCACTACATATAATATTAACGGCATGATGTCACACTGATAGAATGAGGCCAAGAATGTATGTGGTATTAGGTGATCGTAGCATTAGTTGTAGTGATAGCAGGTTAGCTGTAATGCTACTGAAACCCCTCCAAATATTGTTTGAGGAGGCATCACTGCTTGTCTGAGTAACCCGCTGCGACACAGCCATGTATCATTGGACATATGAGGTACACGGGACGCTCTTATATTTAGACCAGTGACTGCGTGTGCTAGACTTCTGTGTGACTATAGGAGTCACACGACATGTTCATATATACACACATGACTAACGGCATGAGGAAGTGCCCGTCCACCGACAACCAGACGAAACGTCATCAAATATAAATATGGTAAACATCTATTTTGGCTCTGCCGTGAGAACTTGGTTTCAATCAGTTGTGGCTCGTGATCGTGTTGGAGCAGTGACCTGATTGCTCAAAACATAACTCTTTTTATTGGCCTTTTGCCTACATGTTGTGTCGGTTTGGCGTCTTCTGGACAGCGTTTCAGATGTGGTTTTTGTTTCGACGAGTAGTTGTGTATGCATGGACGAGGCCTCATGCTGACTCTGGACGCCTAGATCATGTTAAAATGTAAAGATTCTTACTTTCGGTATCACACAGACTCCGTTCAGCCATTAATCACGGCTTTATTCCTGCACAGGCTCCGGCTGCATCCATTCATCTGGCATAAACACAACCAATTATGGCTTTTCTGCTCTGTTTATATTTTCTACTACGCTTACATTGCTGGATTTCTACTTTTATTTTGCTCTTGTTTTGTTATTTATGAGGCTTTTTTCTTCACAAACTGGGACCTGAGTACAAATTTCACACCACAAACGTGTGAATGTGAGCTGGCATGACAAATAAAGTTCCTTGAATCCTTGAATAAATACAGAATTATTCTTGTATTTTGACTCTGCTTTGGGGAATTTATTTTAATAAGTTGTTGCCTGTGATCAGCTTTAATCCTGTTGGAGTCATGATCCCGTTCTTCTGGGAACTGTCCACGCTGTACGGCTATTTTTAAAAAATAAAACTTAGCTTTTTCTACACATTTTGACCTTTTGTCCACATGCAAATGCTGCTCTGATGGTTCAGGATGCTGCTGACAGTGGTACAGTGGTGTTTTTTAATAGTGTTTTTGCAGTTTTAATGTTGAAAACAAATAGGGAAGACCCCTGAAGGCCTAGCACTCATGGTTAACCTCACCACTGACGGACCATCTCTGCTTTGAGACTTCATTCAATCATTAATCTTCCTGGTGCATCCGTTCATCAACATAAGTCCAGTACAGTGCAAACAGTTTTATTCTTCATTATGATTTAGCAGACTTTACCTTAAAAGTCTTTCCTCTTTCATAAAAACTCGATTCTCAGACTTTTCAATGCTCTGATAAATTATACAAGAAATGTCTGAGATAAAGTCCAAGGTGCAAGTTATTTTTATAAAAAAAATCCAAGAGCCTTTTCCATTTTTCAGCAGTGACCCAGACTGCAGCAGTTCACCGAGCTCTGTGAAGTTCTCAGACATGCCTCTGTAACGTGACACCTGACAGCTATTCTAGTGAAACCAGATGTAATTTCCCTGCATGGAAAAAAAAAAAAAAAGAAAGAACTCCTCCCCGGACCTGGAGCTCCCATTGTACTTCCTTAAAATCCAGCGGATAAAAACTCACACACTGACCTACTTCGACAGCAGAGGAGGACGGCATCTGACTCGGAGGACTTCGCCAAACTCTTTGACTTTAGGGAATAAGGTGAGTTTGTTTGCTGCTGACTTCCTGGTGCAGAGTTTTACTTTCTGTTTTGTCGCTCCCTTCTCTTAAACAGGGCAGTGAAACATCGGTCATAAAAAAAACAAACAGATTTAATGTTTTGCACAAAAGGTGAACTAATTTATGTTCAACTGAAGCATAACAACAGAGAACTGCTAATTTCTCAGTAAAAAAAATCTTTGAGTTTGGCTTTAGAGATCTCTCTCCTTTTTCCCCTGAAGTATTTTTCCAGCTAAGAAACTTTTAATACTATTAGGATTAAAGACTGATTTTTAAAGCAGCTGCACCTCAGTGGGGTGATATTTGGAAGTCAGAGCTGCAGAGCCATTTTGAGCTCTGCAGAGTTAATGTGACACATCTGTGGAAAAATGCAACAGGAGATGTGGAGAGAGGAGGGGAGGGGGAAAAAAAGAAGCTAAAATAAATATTAATGCCTTATGTAACGCATGAATTCGTCTCTCGAACATAGAAGAACTACCAGGAGAAATCTCTGTCCATGCAGCGACAGCATCATGCACACACTCAGAACCATTTGCATACATCATGAAACTCTTCTATGGCATTTTCCATCCAACTCACCTAAAGGTGAAGCCGTTGCCGGGTATAATCAATGTGTGTAGGAAGCGGACGATGTAAAGCAGCGCTCCTCACACATTCTCAAAGCTAAAAGGAAGCAGATCGGCTCCTGCTTTCAGCTGAGTAAACCTACAAGGTCAGTGGCCTCCACTGGAGACGATGTACACAAATGCAGATTAGCAGCAGCGCAAAGAGAAAGAAAAAAAAAACCCAACAACAACGGGGAGAAGCTGATGAATGGCAGATGGCGGGGAAAGAGAGAGCAGCGAAGGTGGAGGAAAAAGTGCAGACTGCTGTGAATTTTTTAAAGGCTCGACTTAAAAATGCACAGAGAAAGCGTTTGAATCCCCGATGACAGAGCGAGGAAACTTTTTCACCACACTTTGCTAAAGTTTTATTCTTCGTCTGGTGGCTGCTGCTCGTGAGGAGCCGATAGCCGTTAGCTTCAAATGTGATCGTGTTCATCGCAAAAGAAAGCACAAAAAAAAAAAAATCGTCTGAGGGCAGTTTTATCTGTAGCAGACTGGAAACAGACCTCAGACCAGCAGGTATCTGGTTTTGAGCAGGTTTTCCCTCCAAAATGAGCTGTTGGAGGGCTTCCTTCCTTCCTTCCTTCCTTCCTTCCTTCCTTCCTTACTTAGGAACCAGCATTTTTTAAATCTTTAATGTGACTTAAACAGAAAGTAAAGCAACCATGTGACAGTAAACCCATAATAAACATATAGATACTGGAAGCAGATGTGTGAAAATGTTAACCATAACTCCTCCGATAATTAAAAGACTTTTATTTATCAGTCCTCGCTGGAGAACGAATTCCAGCCTCTTAATAAAGGGCAAGTATTTATACAGATTTCAGTCCAAGTGTTGCACATATGAACTTTGTGTGTTTTCTCTCCAGGATGTTGTCGTGTGTGTGCGTGTTGCTGCTGGCAGCCTCGGCGCTGAGCCTTCTGGATGAAGCCGCTCTGGACGCCCAGTGGGAAGAGTGGAAGAGCACACACAGCAGAGAATACAACGGCCTGGTTAGTGTCCATTAATTTTTCCCGTGACGAACGCCAGAGTGTACGCTTGTGTTGGTGTATTTCCCTAAATTATCCCTTAAAGTGTGAGCAAGATGATGTTTCACCCAAAAGACTCTGGGTAACATAAGGCTGCATGAAGCAACTGTGGAAGAAGCAGAGACCAAACTAGGGGAAAAGATGACATTTCAACTAAACCCCTTCGTCTGCAGCGTTAGCATACAGTCACACCTCGGCCACATCACACTCAAAGCAAACATTTGTGGTGGAAGTGTAGAACGAAACAAGACTTAGCACAAAAGTAATTAAAGAGATGCAGACAAAAATGAGTTAATTAAAACCCACATGTAGATGGTTTGGCACGTCATCAGGTTCAGAAACGGATGTTGCACGACTGGCCTAAGAGATTGGGATTCCGACAGCTACTAAAACCACTGAGACACTAACAGCAAAGCAACTTGGGTAGTTTTTTTTTTCAAGCATTTGGCAGATAGAAGACATGATGTCATCATGTAAAAATGCACTAAGCTTAAATGTAAAATAAACTTTTTGCACATTTGCATCTGGGAAATATGTAATTTGATGCATGTATAATATCTGGACCCACAGAACTCCCCCGTCTTAAAACTGACTATTAATATATGAAGAGTTTATTTGCGCGGTGGTTAGCATCATTGCCTCGCAGCTAGAAGGTTGCCAGTTCGCGTCCCGGTGAGGACACCCGGGATCCTTCTGCGTGGAGTCTCCATGTTCTCCCCGTGCAGCGTGGGTTCTCTCCAGGTTCTCCAGCTTCCTCCCACAGTCCAGAAACATGTTGAGGTTAATTGGTGATTGTAAATTGTCTGTAGGTGTGAATGTGAGTGTGCTTGGTTGTCTGTCTCTAAGTGTAGCCCTGTGATAGACTGGTTTCCTGTCCAGGTGAACCTGCCTTCACCCTGAGTCAGCTGGGATAGACTCCAGCCCCCCATGACCCTAGTGAAGATTAAGCGGTGTACAGATGATGGATGGATGGAGTTAATTTGCAAAAACAGATAACTCCATCTTCATAAACCTTCACAAAACCCACTTTTCCAGCATCTACCTGAGACAATATCAATCAAACTCATGTCATTTCTACTGAGTCAGATCCACTCAACTTCAGTTTGATTGATTTTATCTCAAGCAAACAACAAAAAAACAAGTTTTCTGAAAAAGTTGTCTGTTTCTGCAAATGAACTCTCCCTATGTAGCAACAAGAATGTTGGTTTTCTGACTTGCTTTGGATGTTTTCTTCAAGTGGAAAAAATGTGATTGCACAACGTTCAAAGACGTGTCATAATTTCTAAGACGCACGCTCAGCGGATCTGTAGTTCAGTGATGAAGACTCGTGGTTTATTAACAGACCGCGGTCCACATCTGAGGCCGAGCTGGGCTTCGTACAAACCAGATTGTCCTCTAGAAAGTGTTCAAAGGTCTGACGAACAATTCTGCCTTGTGTAGATATATATAACTCAGAACAGCAGAGCAGCAGATTTCCAGAGAGCTGCATCCACCTCTGTGTTTTGCGGCATTTCAATCAGCAGTCGGGGCAAAGCAAAAAGGAGAGCAGCGGAGCGACAGAAGGATGGATCAGAGTGACGTTAATGGGACGCGGTGTCAAATTTTCATTCTAGTGTGATTCTCGATTGTCCCCGGCAAAAGGCATACCTTAGCTGAGTTTACGGAGCAATTTCCCTTTTTCAAAGCCGACTCTTTATTCTTTCATCAGAGGATCTATCTAGAAACTGTCGGTGGCTTCGCTCCCACAGCTGCGTCTCTGCACATGAATGTATTGACAAGCTCTGTGCATTCGTTCTTTTGTCTTTTCTCTGGGTTTTTTTTTTCAGTCTGTGTTTCATCTTTTCTCCCTTTTTTCTCTCTCTCTGCTTCAGTGAGTTGCTCATGTAGACGTCTTTGACTCACTGTCTGCCTACATCGGACTCAATTTAACAGCCAGTCAGTTCAGGGTTAGTCTCGTCCGTCTCTCAGCCGGCCGGCCTGTTTCTGCTGCTGCCAGCGATCTGGTGAGAGCACGTTAAACTGAGAGAAGAGATGTTTTTATAGAGGTTTAAAGTAAGTTGGTGCTGCTATTAAATCTACACTCAGCTGCCTTTAAGGAGTCAGAGTTCTAATTTGCATCCATGATCAGCTGCATTTTTTTGTTTGTTGGTTAGTTTTTTCATAATATACTGAAGATATAATGATGAAATATAGAGTATTGTAGAATATTTGGTGCTGGTATAAATATTTGGCACCCAAATATGTAGTTTGTCTAATATGTGGCTAGTGCAATAATATTAAATCATCAGCATATAGGTTGATTCTATTGATTAGTATCACGAACTAGACTAGTTTGTATTTCCGTGTATTGTATTAGCAACAATTAGCCCTGTGATAGACTGGTTGCCTGTCCAGGTGTCCCCTGCCTTTGCCCTGGGATAGACTCCAGCTCCCCCGTGACGCTAGTGAGGATTAAGATGTGTATAGATAATGGATGGATGGATGTTAGCAAAAATGTGCATCCTGGCTTAGTTCCTAGTTGGTGCAACAATTAGGTGGAAGTACATTAAAAGTGTCCGCTCTCTAATTTACTTTCTTTTCGATTTTTCCAATGAAACTGGATTAAAACGTTTATTAAGTGAAGGCAGCATCATACGGAGGAGGTTGGGGTCGATGGAGGGCGTACAAAGGAAGGAATGTATGGAAAAGGATAAAAGCATTTTTGGTGAGATTAGGTAAAGATGGTGGCGGTGCACCTAAACGTAACCATAAACAAGGTGACTCTAGGAGCTACGTGTGGATGTTGTGTTGCAAGAAAGCAAATGCTTTGTCAGTAAAGATGTTCATTATCAACATTTTGCAACGTCCAGGTGGCATTATTACCCAAAAGTGTCCCGCATGCGCAGAAGAGGACACGACGACGTCACACGCAGCGAGCGTGCTCAGTGTTTAGTAAACACAGATGGTGGTGGCGACAGGGGAGCGCCACTGCCGCCACCGATGGTGGAAACAGAAGTGTGAGCGCTATCCTAAACTAACATCAGCAGCCAAGTACTGCCTGTGTGTTTCGGCCACTTCCACCCCGTCAGAGCGCTGCCCCGGGGTGGAAGTGTCCCCTGACCGTGCAGAATATTCTGATATTCATCAAAATTGGGCCTGAATATCCAGAGAGCAGAAAGTTCTATTGGGACCAGCCCTACTAGTTATTATAACAACTATGAACAATAAATATTAACAACAAATGAGCCTTCCAGCATCAAGCCCTCCTTGTATCTCGACCTCCATCTTGCTATCCGACATAAAAGAAGGTTTTACATTTAGTGTTGGATTATCGAGTCACGACTGTGTTTCTATAAATACAATTTACAGGAGACAGGGTTAATATAATAATATAATATATATATAATTGAACATGATAATACTTTGTTTAAATCTTTGTTTTATTCAGTCGATGGCATATTGGCTCATCACAAAGTCGTCTCCGTGGGAAAGTGTCATGTTACTTTACACTAGTAAACAAACACATGGAGGAAGAGGTGATGAACAAGCTAGAAGTTAATCATAGTTCTACTTCTGTCATGTGCTGGTGATCAGTCTGGTTCCCTTTATGTAGATGATCTGGTCTGATAGAGGAATAATACCACGTTTAAATAAATCCCCACCAGTTGGAAAATTCATGAAGAGAGAGAGAAAAAGTAATCGAGTAGTCTTTCTTTGACACATATACACACCGGTAACTGTCAGATGTGCACATCAAACCACTTATGGATTCAAAGCAGCTCTATTTTTAACACACGATTCTTTCTGATGCTTCTGTTTTTAGAAGAGGAAGAAAATATATTTCTAGCTTCCGTTTCAAACATCCACCCGACGGTACAGTCAACAAAGCAGCACGAGTTCTTGCTGCTTTCTGCAAGTCATCTCTCATTATCGCCTCTAAATCCTCGGCACACATTCTCTTCAACCACAAACAACGTTGCCTAGAAAAACAAGAACCACGAGGCCGTGACCGGTTGCTCCACTTCCTTGTTTAGGCCCAGAGTGGAAACCAGACAGATGGGAGTCAGAGAACAGAGAAGCAAAAGTAGAGCAGGACGCGCACAATGAGAATTTACTTCATCTTCCTCATCGTTTGCTGGTAATTGAGAGAAAAAAAAAGTTAATTTCCATCAGACTTTAGCTGCTTCATTTACGAAAAACAAAAACAATGTCGTGGTAGCAGCTGTAGGAAATTTCCACCAGAGGAAACTCCATTCATCAGTGAAGCTTCTTCTTTAGTTTCAGGGTTTTTTTAAATTTTTATTTTCATTCCTGGCATCAAAGAAGCAAAGGAAATGTGGTTCAGTTGGTGTTAAAGCGGGGCTGGCTACGAGTTTACTTCCTGAATGCTTACTGAGCATCTGCTATCCCTCCACTCTCCACCTCTGGCTAGAGGTCAGAGCATCGCAGCTGTGGAGTGTGTGTGAGTGTGTGTGTGTGTTTGCATGTGTGTGTTTGCAACTGCACGTGTGCAAACGCCTGGGTTAATGAGCAGAATCTGACAGTGTGTTTTCATTTGTACCCGTGTGTGTAAATGCATGTATTTACTGCAATGTTAGCATGTTGGTATGATCACAGCGTGTATTTATATTCATGTGAAGTCAGCAGAAAGGACCTCGTTCTCTCTCTCGCATGGTGATTTTAATCAGCATTCACCCGGCAGCTCCTCTCGATTCAACCCTCCTTGAACTGACATCACCGTAATAGAATCAAAATCTCCGTGCGAGCATTTGCATTTTCCATTACTGGAATGGATATCAAGATAGAAATGATTGTAGTTATGCTAATGGTTGCTAAAACCACAAGTAGAGCTTGTTTTTTTTTTGTTTTTTTTCTAGCCAGCTTTATCTTTATCTTTTAGCTGTATCTTATTCCCATATTGAGCCTTTGAGCAATAAAACTTGACATCAACAGTTGTGCTAAATGGAGCTCACTCATAGATTTCTCATCACACAGCGCTGGATGGTGGATAAAGTCACATTTTATCTGTGTGTGCTGCAGGAGGGAAGATTGTTGTGTGAATGTGCGCCGCTTTAATCGGCCTAATTAATGAAATGGGGCTGGAACGCAGGCAGGCAGGCTTTTTTTTTTCTCTTTTATTGGCTAATTATAATGAATCCTTGCCCTGTTTGCCCAGATTGGTTTCTTTGGGTTGTCAGGTGTACGCACAGGAGACAAACCTGAAGGATGGGGTTTTATTTTAGTACTCATGAAGCCCGTTCCTGTCATGTGAAATGAAATGTTTGTGACTTTATTAGCTCCTCAACCCAAAGGGGGGCGGAAACATCAGTCCAAGAGGTTCAAACACTCCCTTTTATTTGGTCGTTTGATGGAAATATTCATCGCTTTCATGCACGTAATGGTCGTTTGTGGTTCAAGCAATTTAATCACCAGTACACGTATAATTTAATAAAGTCAACGGCAACATGGTGCTACACAAAATGGCTTAAACATGAAATAAGTGACTTTTTAAGCTGGGGAAATTTAAATGTAAAGCAAATCTGGAAGTGTTGCTGATTTAATGTATTATCTCACATATCCTCAAATGCATTCCTTCCATTAAAGAAAAGGCAAAATCCACAACAGTCACTCAAATGACTAGAAACTGAACAAAGTAATAATAAATCAAAATGTGCTAAATTATAATTTAGTGAAATAAGGCATTGCTTTTGAATTATGGTTGAAAAGAATAATTTTTAAAAAACAAACAAAACTGTCCCAGAGTTACAGAAAACACTTGATTGCAGTGACTGGATCGAGAAAATATTAGTTTACGGGTCCTTTCATGATTTTTTTTGGTTTGTTTTTTCATATTTCTGTTGAACCAAAAGCAACATCATGATTTTCATTACATTTTTATTTATTATTACTTTTGTCAATTTTAACTTATTTCAGCTGTTTTTTTTTTTCTTTCTTTAATAGGAGGGTATGAATAAATTTGAGGACGAATATAAATTTAAGACACTTTACATTTTTAAAACACACAAGCTTAATCAGAGTTTACATAATTCATAAAATAAAATTTAAAAATAGGTGCCATTACGCTGAAAAAGGTGGGAAATGGATTCAATTCAAATCATTTTCTGTGTCACAGCAAGTTTCTGTCACGAATACTTTCTTCAAAATATCAAAAACAACAACAAAAAGAAGTACAGTTCTCAATCAGTTCCTGCTGGGAAGTGATTGTGTGAACTCTCAGCAGCGCGTAACACGACTCCTAGTAATTATAATTACACCGAGTTTGTTACTGGGTTTACTTTAAAAGCCGGAAAACTTGAAAGGTAAAAAGGATTTCTTTTAATTTCTTGAGTTGGAACCAGGACTTGACACCTCGTTTTGTTTGCCTCAGGATGAAGAGTGGATCCGCAGAACCATCTGGCAGAAGAACGCTCGCATGATCGAAGCCCACAACATGGAGGCGGCGCTGGGGATGCACTCCTACGAGCTGGCCATGAACCACCTGGGAGACATGGTGAGTCCAGAACGTCAGATTCCAGGCAGGTGTGATGTCTTTATCCCACGTAGGTGCATCGCAGAGGAAGACACGAGCCTCTTTGTTAAGGCAGGAAGACGAGCATGTCAGCATTCCTATTTTTTCCCCTTTTCTCTCTCTGGTGTGCTCTCCGGTGTGCTGCAGCTGACAGTTCTGTTAGCAGGAGTCTATTTCTGGTCACGAGAAACCACAAGCTATGATTGGAGACGGAGTCTGGCGCGTCTCCTTCCACATCACGGCACCTCCAGACGTTTTTTTGACCGTTTTGTAGCTCAGACAAACAAATGTTATGTGTTCTGATCCCAGCGTTGTTGGGTTTTTTTTGGAGATGTTTCCTTATTTTTAACACATTTCAGGCGCAATATGTTAGTGCACAAAATAAGGCATGTCCTCAAATGAGAATGAAGTTACTGTTTTTATGATTTTGTTGAAACCCTTGAGTTTATTCTGAATTTTTCTAGTTTTTCGCTGAAACGAAATGCATTTTTGAGGGTCTAAGCATGCCCAATATCTCTACAAAATCCCCACACACACTAGGACTGGCAAAAAAAATTGATATTTTTCAGTACTTGGACATGTCACTGCCAAAATGGCTCCACAGCGCCACCTTGCAAAATTTCAACGGAGTCCTGTCGGAAGCATGTTTGGCCTAAAGCTACAAAATTTGGTGGGCATATAGAGCAGCCCCCTACAATATTTCAACAGACTCCCATTGGGGCTACGTTTGACTTAGAGCTACAAAATTTGGTACACATATGTAGCAGCTCAGGACACACAAAAAAGTCCGTTGGCATGTTTCCGTAAACCCAACAGGAAATCCGCCATTTTGAAAAAATTGCGAGCATGCCTGACGATTTTCCCTCATTTTTGGCCAATTTCAAAATCCATCCCCTCCTAGGGATTACACACCTGAAATCTGGCCAGCACAAACTACTTGATGTGGTGAATAAAAGGTCATAAAATCTTCTGCAAAAGTCTGACGGCGTGGAAATGGCGGCCCACTCAATTTTGATGAAAGGCAGGTCAGGACGAACAAAAAACTTGATCAGCTCCAAGCTCTAAAATGCAACACGGCTCAACTGCGCCCCCTACAATATTTCAACAGAGTCCCATCAGGGCTACGTTTGACTTAGAGCTACAGAAATTGGTACACATATGTAGCAGCTCAGGACGCACAAAAAAGTCCATCAGCATGTTTTCGTAAACCCAACAGGAAATTCGCCATGTTGGAAAAATCCTGAGCATTACGGGCCATTTTCGCTCATTTTTGGCCATTTTCAAAATCTGTCTCCTCCTAGGAAATCTGGCCAGCACAAACTACAGGACGTGGTGATTAAAAGGTAATAAAATCTTCCGCAAAAGTCTGACAGCGTGGAAATGGCGGCCCGCTCAATTTCAATGAAAGGCCATTTTGCGCATTTTCGCTGTGTTTCCGGCCCGTCCTGTTGGAAGGCCGTTTCACCCAGACGTCCAAAATTCAGTGGGCATGTGTAGCAGCTCACAAAATGTAATTATTTAATTGTTTTTGCTTCTTTTTTTTATTATTCTTTTTTCTTTAATCCATGACAGCACAGGTTCAGTCCAGCTGTTATGATAGCTTGTGCATCATTTACTCGTGTTACACATCCAGGTTTTCTCTTCATTATTAATTATTATGCTGATTATTTCCTCAAATAATTGATTTCTCATTGGGTAAAAGTAATAAAAGTCCAAGCTGATGTCTTTGAATGTTTTGTTTCACCAGAAGAGATTTATCATCATATATGAAGCGAGAACCAACAAACCAGCTCCTTCCTGTCAGAGCTCCACATTATCTTCAGAAGTTTTGGCTTTTAGCTGCTGTAGTCTGTTGTCATCTCCTTCTTTTGCTTCAGTCATGCGTGTGGCGACGCGGCGAGGTGAAGCTAAACGGGTTCGGTGTCCTTAAATCAGCTGCAGTCGGTGACATGTCAGCGCACGACTGATGCTTGTTTTATTGCATCGAATGTCAGACACAACAAGCCGTGCATCAAAAACGAAAGACAAGTCGGCTTCATGGAGTGGCAGCGTGTCAGGACTTGAGCATCTGAATTCTGGATAAATGGTCGGTTTTCATGTTTATGTAGGGAACAGGTGGCCGGAAATGAAGGATGTCTTTCCATTTTCAGCCTGACTGAAAGCACTTAAATTAAATGAAAGAAATTAACAGATGGCCTGTATTTCTTCCATTAATGATCTGTTCTGCTTTTAGAATGAGCTGTAATGAAAGCCCTGGGGAGTTCTCATCATAATAAATGGAAGATTTCTTCTTCTTTTTCTTTTTTTTTTTTAAATAACTGCTAAATATTGTATAACCAGCAGTTCCAGCCAGCAAACAGAAATCTCTTATTTTAATTCCTCTTGTTCTCTTTCATCCACTCCGTCTTTTATGTCACTGTTTTTTTTTTTTAAATCTTTCTTTTGTGCACTTTGGTGCCGTTTTTCTGACATTTTGTAAACTGAAAGGTGACATTTCACTTTCGAGTAAACGGCATTAAACCCGTCTCTTCATGAATAACTTTTCATCCTCTGTCACCCCGCTGACTCAAATCCTCCCGCTCCCATATCTTCTTTTACTTGTTCTCGTCTTAAATCTAAAAATAAACCCTGCGTACCTCTCGTCTCTTCTTCCTGTCCAGAATTTATTATTTTATTTTTTTCCTTTTCCACTCAGTTATTCTAAAAACCAAGGAAAGATTCATCCCATCCTTTGTCGCTTCAATCTGTGGCCCTAAACTTTTGAACCCTTTGTTTCTGGTGATGTTTTGGATCTAAAAACTGCTGATGCAAACTGTCAGCATGTGAATTAAACGCCTCGGCAACTTCCCCAAAAACCTGGGGAAGATGACCAAAAACATTAACTTGTGTTTCTGTTCACGCAGACGTCGGAGGAAGTGGTGGAGAAGATGACCGGCCTGCAGATCCCCCTGAACTCTGTGCGCAACTTCAGCATGACTCTGGACCACAAGGTGTCCAAGCTTCCCAAGTTCGTTGACTACCGCAAGAAGGGCATGGTGACCCCAGTGAAGGACCAGGTCAGAGGACGAGCATTTCATTCTGCATTTAGAGGATTCTGAGTGCTTGAAATATCTGGAATTTGTTTCTGTCATACATAAATCAGAGCATTTTAGAGAAGCTATGAAGAATAGTTTATGTCATTGAGACGGGGTTTCTCTTATTGATGAACCTGCAGAGAACCTGAACTCTCAGCTCTTCCTGACTGGTGAGCCCTCTGCTTCAGCTTCACTGGTTCGCTCAGCAGCTAAAAGCTTTAAAAACGTACTGATTCGTGAAGCATTCAGCACGATGAGGGCCAAATATTTCCCTCAGAAGTAGAAGTGAGGGTTACTTACAGAAGCATGATTAGAAACGTGTTATAATACTGAGAGGTTCACCTGTCAACCTGAAGAAGGAGGTGCATCAGTGTTGAGTTCACAGCCTGTTTTAGTAGGTTTAGAGGGGAAATATCCATCCATCCATCCATCCATCCATCATCTATACACCTTAATCCTCACCAGGGTCATGGGGGGCTGGAGTCTATCCCAGCTGACTCAGGGTGAAGGTAGGTTCACCTGGACAGGTAACCAGTCTATCACAGGGCTACACTTAGAGACAGACAACCAAGCACACTCATATTCACACCAATCACCAATTAACCCCAGCATGTTTTTGGACCCGGAGAACCCACGCTGCATGGGGAGAACATGGAGACTCCACACAGATCCCAGGTGTCCTCACCGGGACGAGGCAACAGTGCTAACCACCGCGCCACCTTGAAAATATGCAGTTATCAAACTAAGCTTGGCACGAATCAGAGATTGGACTATCTTTAGTCCTGTGACACCATCAAGATGATCAACAAGTTCAAGGAAATGGGGCAAGACAAATTCCTAAGAACACAAGACAGATCTTGTGCAACAACATTCCTCTTTAGCGAGTTCTAAAGTCACAAGACGGCAGCACAGGAGCCAAACCGATCTCTAACGTGGTCAGGACAGTGGGCGGATTAAGAAAGCTGTATCTTGATTCACGAGAATCGAAACCAGAACAGTCGGCGTCTCACAAAGAGAGCTTTGAATTGCTTTGTGATCAATAAGTCATATCCAGAAAACACAGAGGCGCGCTGCTTTGCAAAATGTAAAAAAGTCTTTGATAGACGGGGCCCACGCGTTTCAACTCGCAGTCGTCTTTAGGGCGCGTAGAAGTAAGAAGCAGCTCGCAGAGGCTGCTGCCAAGCAGTCACAAACATTCGTCACAGGTGCAGCGGAGCAAGTGCATGTGGAAACCATTAGGTAGATTCTAACATGGAGTCAACATCTCTCATAGTCCCCGTGAGCAACCACAACACAGAAAGCAACCACATGGAAAACACCCATTCTGAGATGAAGAAAAACATCTTTGAAGTTGGTGCAAAAAGGAGCGAGATGAGGAATCATCCCATCACCAGGAACCTGTTTACAGACATAGAACACAGTCCAGGACATCAGTCAGGTCTGGATCCAGAATGTTTCTCTGTTGTCTTTAGTTTATCTCCTCCTCTCTTTCTGTGGCCTCTACATGCACCGCGTTGAATGAGTCAGGGTCACATCGTCTTCATTTCCCATGCTAATGGGATATTCATGCTCAGTTGGTCCCCTTCTGTCTCTTTCCTGTTTGTTCTCCAGACATAAAAATAGCCACATGAGCGCTGTAGGTGGTGTTCTAGACAACAATATGAAGTCCTGTACCTGTGTGGAAGCAGCACAACCACGAGTAGAAGAGGAGAGAAGTCAGACGTAGGATTTATAATTCCAGAAATCACAAAAAGGAAAGAAATAAAATGTGAAGTTCAAGTTTTTTACTTATATATTTTTGATTATTTATTTTACTAAACCTTCTAATAAACCTGTGTTACCTGCAACACGGGGGAAATGGTAGCTCTCCATACTGTGGATATTTAACTCTTTACATGTCTGATCTGGGGATGCAAGGTGGATCAGTGGTTAGCATTGTCGCCTCATAGCAAGGTCGCCGGTTCACATCCACATGAGGACACCCGGGATCTTTCTGCGTGGAGTCTCCATGTTCTCCCCGTGCAGCGTGGGTTCTCTCCGGGTTCTCCAGAAACATGTTGAGGTTAATTGGTGATTCTAAATTGTCCGTAGGTGTGAATGTGAGTGTGCTTGGTTGTCTGTCTCTAAGTGTAGCCCTGTGATAGACTGGTTACCTGTCCAGGTGAACCTGCCTTCACCCTGGGATAGACTCCAGCCCCCCATGACCCTAGTGAGGATTAAGTGGTGTATAGATAATAGATGGATGTCTAATTTGTACACGGCCTGCAGTTCAGCCCAGTTCAGGCGAAACATCCCATAGTTTTTCATCACATGATTGTTGGTCAGGGCTGAGTCACTGATGACTTCCTGCCAGGAGCACAGAGTCATCAGGTTTTAGTCTTTTGTTGGTACAAACAGTCTATTTTGGCATTTTTTTAATGAGACATAAATGGATTTTGATGACACATCCTTATTTCAGGCTTAGATCAGCACATCACACACAGATGAGTAGTTCAAGGACCACCGTAAACTTTAAGAAAACAATCATTCCTTGTGTTGTTTTTTTTAACAGTTTCAGGCTCTAATAAATGGCGTCCTTAAAGCAGCTTTTTAAAGACAACACGCCTTTTAAACCTGCTGGTCTGTTGTGTAGCATCACAGTGATCTACCACACTGTGGTCTGTGCTGGAGCTCAGCCACTCGGGTCTCCAGGTGATCGCTGTGATCAAACTTGTCTCCTCTAGTCGCTGCTTTTTCTAAAGCTGACAGCCGGGACGCTTTATTCAGCCTCGACTCTTCATAGTAAACCAACTTGAGGGAAGCACTGGAGCCTGTTTGTGCAGATCTGCTTGTTCGTTAGAGCAGCTGATGCCTTGTTGGATCCCATTTCTTTAACCACACCTGTGATAAATATGTGTGATTGCTTCACAGCTGGACTGATCTATCCGTGACCTGCTTCCCATAAAGAATGTGGCTTCAAACACACAGGTTAGGTTAGATTAGATTAGATAGAACTTTATTGAGGTCAGCCTTGGTATTGTTCTAGTTCTGACTTAATGACCGTGAAGCAAGCCGAACCCTTCTCAGAGCTCGTGTTTTTCATACCTGCATTTGAGAAGCTGCCACCCGCTCGCTATAAAGTCAAGAGGAAGCTATAATGTGATGTGTACTTTTTCTACCTGTCATATTCCTGTCATAGTTCTCAAGGTAACTGCATCTTCAGTTAGAAATCCTGCTGGACTTCTGGTGTTTGTTGAGAAAACCTGAGCTATAAGTTCCCAAGGCTGTTTTCAGGCAAAATGTTTAGAGTGAAGCACAAAACCTCGTTGATTTCTGCAGGGAAATGTGAGCGTTGCAGGCAGAAGCAAGACAATAATAATGTGACAGGAACGAGTAGGGAAACTGTGAAAATGTAAACCACAAAGATTAAACATTATGTTTAGTATTTTTAATGAAAATCAGTCGTGCAATCTGAATCTAATTGTGCAGATTTCAGTTTTAAAACGTGTCCAGATGATGGTTTTTATATGCTGGAGGACTTATCATGAGCATGTTCTTCATCAAACTGCTGCACATCAACCTCATAAACATGCGTCACAGAGTTTAATGTGGAGCAAACCTCTGGAACCAGTCCTGTCAGTTTGTCGGGTTGGACATGCCGTACATTTATTCTTTGTCAGAATTTGATTCCGGTTTTGGCTGCAAGGTGGCTCGATAGTTAG